AGTTAAATTGAGACTAAGAATTAAATTTCGATGCAACGAAATGATTAAGAGCATCTACTCATATCTTAATGAAAAATTGCGCAACCTACTTACTAGTCAATTTTCTGATATAAAAGAAAAAAGAGTAAAATGAAAACGAAAAATGAAAATTGGGAGTGGAGTCACATGGCGGCATGTGGGGGCGACCCCACCCGTGGGAAGGTGTGAGAGGGTATGTGACAGTAGTACACTCCCGTTTTTCCCGGGACGGAGGTCGCTTTGTCGGGTTGTTTTGGCGGACACGATGCCTAGCGTTCATCCATCCTAAACTCAACCACTGAAGAACCTCCTTAACCTTAAGTTAACACAGAGTTGGTGCGCACGTTAATACACTACGCACCCCTTTCTCTTCCTCATTGTGACGCTGATTTCTGATTTCTGATTTGTTAGTGGGGTCCTCCTATGTGCATGTTTAAGTAATTAAAAGACTTTTTTAAAAGTTAATAAGCAGCTGGCACTCACTCATTAACCCTTTGTTTAATCATCTTTTCACCGAAATTAATCTGTGCTTTATCATTCATCATTTGTCGACATTTGTCATTTCATATGATTTGATTTGATAATGCTCAACTCAACCACTTCCACTATTTCATCCACTTTCTTTGCATCATTCACCATCATGCATAGAGTTTTTCCGGCTATTGGTATTGGGATTGATAGAGAAAATAGACAATACATTAGCTCGTGTGTTCTTTTGCTTGCGCTCTTTTTTCTTTCTTGATTCGAAGAAGAAAACATAAATTGCTAATCAACCATGACTAGCCTTAATTATGAAAAGTATGTTCTTTAATTATTGAAGAGTGGATTCTCAATATGTCGTCAATAATATCATTGCCACTGACAAAGCTTACATGTTTATACTGAGTACACTCTATAATATAACAAGTATTCATTGGCAAAGAAACTTGATGAGAATGAGTAATTAGGTAGCCGTTGGTGCCTTGTATTTTGCATATATATTGACATTGGGATGCATAATGTTAGGATTTCAGATGGACGGAACTTTGGCTCACTACTAGCAACATCGATATTGATCTCAACTTAATCACTTGTTTAGCAGGTGTGGGGTCTTATACAAAAGATCTCGATGTTATTAGGAGTGAAGCCATTCATTAAACGAGACTTTCTATTTTGTTAAGACTGTGTGTTTTCTTCAACATATAATACTAATAGCTAGGTAAAGTTAAAAACATGAATATGTGATATAGAATAGAATATAAGGGAAACTTGGTGTTTCACCCTCTACGTTGAGTTGAGCATCGGCAGAATGTGAATATGGCTTAGCAACCAGTAAAAATTGAGAAGGAGGAGGAGGAGGAGGCAGTTTGAAAAAGGCAGTCAGGTTGTGTTGTGCACGTGTACAAGGGCAGCGACAATTGCATGGAAATGCATGTATTCATTTGTCAGTATATCACTGACACCATGTACCAACACACATGCCCAACACGATTGAAGGGTTTTGTCGAGTTGATTTAACCCACGACTTTGTCTTTTCCCTTCCCAATTAGCGGCCTCCCTCCCTCCCTCT